AAAGAACAGCATCACTCTACTGAAGATAGAAGTTGGCCATCTGTGCCCTAAAGTACACTTCATCTTCACTAGATTTGCTGGGTATGGCGTTACTCTCTCAGCTATGTCAAACCTAAAAGGTGTGTTAAAGTTTCATACCTCATTTCTCTTGGTAAGAAAGGGAGTCGTAGTCTTCAAAACATACTGTCATTCAACCTTTTTCTCTCTATATATGGTTAATATATTTTTTAAAGTCCTGAGTGTTGTGATATGCCATTTTTTTGGTAAAAAAAATTCTTAGTGCTCCTTCAGCTGTGGGTAAAACCAGAATAAACTTTATATAAATACTGTCTTCTTTTTCTAAATTGATTTAAAATTAAACAGCAGAGCCAGCTGAGTCAACCCAGTGCGCAGACAGACCTGAGTAGATGTATTACTTGAATGAATTAGGAACCACTGGCTTAAACTGGATGTGCTTTTTCTTGGAGATGCCTGCCTGCTACACTGCATCGCTTCAGCTAAGACAGGGGCTCTCAACCTTGGGGAACCCAGGTGTTCTTGGGCTACAATTCCCAGAACCCTTCAACACTAGCTGTGCTGTTGCAGTCCAAGAACAGCCGGGTTCTCCAAGGTGGGGAACCACTGAGTTAGGACATGTGTGGGACCAGAGGGTGGGGAGGCACATGTTTAAATGTGCCTCTCCATTCCTAATCCCACATACCGGTAATTTAAGATGGCAAGGAGGCAGCATCTGTTATGGGGTCTGGAGAGAGCTCTCTGGACACAGCTCTTACCTCTCACTGGGAAATGTACAATCTTGACTAAAGCTCTTTAAAAAAGAGAGCTAGTTTTGTATGGAAAATACAGGAAGGTCTTTATGCACATAGTTGCAAGTTTCCTAATCCAAATAGTCCACATTTTTCTACTTGCATTAGAAACGTATCCTGTGTTGCTATGCTTGATACCCTGCCTTGGGCAAAATAGGTTTAATTTAAATCCTATAATCCAAAAAATATATAAGCATATTAAATGTGCATGATTTGGAAATATGAGAATGTAGTACATGGCACGCACAACACTGGTTTGGGCTGTTTGTGTGCAATAGCTAGATTTTAACAATCTGTAATAAACTCAGACGTAAACCTTGAGTCACCCACTGTAAGTCAGAATCAGCTCTATGGCACACAGTAATTAAATCAGGCATGGACTGGATAACCCTGAAGAATACCTTCCAGTAGAGAATTGTGCTCCCTAAAACAAGGGAACAATGTGGCCACCCTTGAACTTGTACATATCACCACTTGAAGATGGAAGCCCTGAAGTCCTCAGTGCTAACAGTCCACCTGGGAGGAACCACAAAGAAACCTTTCATGTCAGTCAAAAACCACAAGGTGCGTCGAAGTCCACTTCACCTTTGCAGAGGCTGCTCTTGGGCCTCCATGGTTATAGCAGTAACTAGGGAATAATCATTCTGCTAAATTGTTTGCTCTCTTTTTAAATGTTAAGATAGTTGCTCTGTTTCTTTCAGTAGATGCCTGCCTGCTACACTGCATCGCTTCAGCTAAGACAGGGGCTCTCAACCTTGGGGAACCCAGGTGTTCTTGGGCTACAATTCCCAGAACCCTTCAACACTAGCTGTGCTGTTGCAGTCCTAGAACAGCCGGGTTCTCCAAGGTGGGGAACCACTGAGTTAGGACATGTGTGGGACCAGAGGGTGGGGAGGCACATGTTTAAATGTGCCTCTCCATTCCTAATCCCACATAATTTAAGATGGCAAGGAGGCAGCATCTGTTATGGGGTCTGGAGAGAGCTCTCTGGACACAGCTCTTACCTCTCACTGGGAAATGTACAATCTTGACTAAAGCTCTTTAAAAAAGAGAGCTAGTTTTGTATGGAAAATACAGGAAGGTCTTTATGCACATAGTTGCAAGTTTCCTAATCCAAATAGTCCACATTTTTCTACTTGCATTAGAAACGTATCCTGTGTTGCTATGCTTGATACCCTGCCTTGGGCAAAATAGGTTTAATTTAAATCCTATAATCCAAAAAATATATAAGCATATTAAATGTGCATGATTTGGAAATATGAGAATGTAGTACATGGCACGCACAACACTGGTTTGGGCTGTTTGTGTGCAATAGCTAAATTTTAACAATCTGTAATATACTCAGACGTAAACCTTGAGTCACCCACCGTAAGTCAGAATCAGCTCTATGGCACACAGTAACATCAACATCCATCCATCCATGCCCTGCCGGCTGGAAGGGACTCTGTGGATCATTGAGTCCAGTCCCTGTCAAGGAGGGACAATGGAGAATTGAACTTCTAACCTCTGGCTCTGCAGCCAGATAACAAAACCATGAGAAACAGCTCAGGGAGTTGAGAAAGTTTAACCTAGAGAAAAGTCTGAGGGGGTGATATGATAGTTACTTTCAAGTATCTGTCAGGTGGGATATGGAGCAAGCTTTTTTCCTGTAGCTCCAGAGGGCCGGAGCCAAACCAATGGATTCACTTTACAAGAAAGTACACCTTGACTAAACATTAGGAAGAACCTCTCGACAGGAAAAGCTGTTCAACAGTGGAATGGACTGCCTCGGGAGCTAGTGGACATCGGGAGATTTTAAGCAGATGGCCACTTGTCAAGGAAGCTTTAGCTGTGAACTTTCTTGCTTGGGCACAGAATTGGAATTGTGACCCCTAAGTTTTCTTCCAGCTCTACAATTCTGATAGAATTCTATGGCCGAAATCCTGATGCACATAGTGATGCAAATAGTGTAACTTTTGGAAGCCAACTGCCATAAGCCAAGAAAAGTCCATATGTATTATCTGTTGTGTACTTATTTGCACTATTCACATAACAGATGTTTTCTTAACTTTCAGCATTTTGTCTACATGTTATGACATGAACAGTAAGTGTTCAACATGATTTTGGCCATGATTATTAATATTCTCTAGGTTGTATGCAGGATGATGGAGAGAGGCAATATAATTTTTGCAGTAGGCATTATTAATAGTAATTTAAGAAATATTAACCTTGCCTTCAGATCTAAAATGTATAAACTTCTGTGAAGATGTATGCATGAAATAATCTTAGTAATGAAAAATCTGAATATTAAATTCAGTTCCATCTACAGTAAGATACCGTTATAGGGAAAGGCGATTGGTGTACATGATGTGTTTTGACATCTAGCCATGTAATTTCATCTAAATTTTCCACTATTCAATCCTGATCCAGAGAGTGCAGGATGCCAGTTGCTGTCCTGAGGAAATCCCTCCATACACTCTGAACAAAGGAATAGACTGTTATCCATTTATTCCTCTGATAGCTATTTGGTAGTTCCAGGTGCTGGATGTGGGTTTCTGTACGCTCCAAACTCACTGAGTTTTATATTCAGTGAAGAAGATAATAGCCAACTGTTGCTGAAGAATTTATTTATTTATTTGGCTTTTATACCACCATTTAGATGAATCTACTCTGGGTGGTTTACGGTCCAAAAAGGCAATAAAATTAAAATCATCAATAAAAAGACGAAAACAAGCCAAAAACCAGAGGAAAAAATTAAGTAGTGGCAGGAGGGAAGGCCTGCCTGAAGAGCCACGTCTTTAGTTTACTCTTAAAAACTCCCAGTGAGGGAGCCAGGCGGATCTCAGAGGGGAGGATATTCCAAAGGCAAGGGACCACCACCGAGAAGCCCCTTAGCCATCTAGTCTGGTTAGAACGAGTGACACGAGTAGAACTAGGTGGAAGGCGGTGCTCTGACAGGTATCAAGGTCCTAAACCTTTTAGGACTTTATATGTAATAATCAGAACCTTGAAATCGATGGAGAATCTAACAGGTAACCAGTGCAAGGCGGCCTGAGTGGGGGGGATATATTTTTTCACCCCAGAAGCAGAGTTGCTTTGAACTGGAGGGGAACAGCCTTTCCAGATCTACTGTGTTTATTTCAGAGAGCTCCAAGATTGATCACCAAGAGTCAGGAGCAAATAACATATAATCATAATCAAAAACAGGGTGCCTCTGAGCATCTACTGCATGTAGCATTTGTTTCCAGTATCAGAACAGAATTCATCATACTTTCACATCTGCTTCATTTATAAGACTACTTCATGTGGAAAAATCATTTGGTTCTTCCAATCAATCAATAGTGAAAAATTCTTGCCACCAAATATAAGTCATGCAAAGACCTACCAGGTGATCCAGACTGACCTGGATTAACCAGTGCATGCAAAAATACAAGGAGAACATTTTCTTACTATGAAGCAATTACTGTATACTGTACTAAGTTACAGAGGCAACAGAACAATCAATAAATTGATTGTGATTCCCTTAAATTAACCTAATTTAATTTGATGCAGGAACTAGAAAGCAAATGGTCAGATCCATACCTCAGTTTCTCAGTGAATATTATTAAAATCTTTTGACTGTATCTTATAAAGCAGCTAATTTTTATATTGTGGCAAATATAATACTGGCTTTTAAAAACCAAGCTATTTTATGTATAGTCCCCAGTTTTAAATTACCCCCCCAAGCCTCTGCACCTTCATATGGAAAGAATTCCAGAAATTTACTCCCAAGTAAGAGCACCTAGTCTTCTGTCTCTTCTCTGTGAACAACCCTGCCAATAAGTATCTATCAATACATTCATAAATACCACATTCATGTTGCAAATATATCTGCACTTTTCTTGCTCAGATGATAAAAGGCTATTAATTTAGCACCTCATATTAGGTGTATGTGTTTCCAAAGTACAGCTTCTCTGAGCTGAACTGATTTAAAATATAATCTCCAATTCGTAATTTTTTTTCAACTAATAGCTACACATTTTGCATTACTGTGCAACAGGATTTCAATCAGAGAGTATCTAAGCAAAACTGTATGTAAAACTGGTTGATACAAATAATTCCAGAAGCTTTAATCCCATCAATTTTAACAAAGCAGCAGCTGATCTACTATCAATAATCAAGGGAGCTCTAGTTTTTAAACCTGACAAGGAAAGAACGGAACAAAGTAGAACTAATTGTACTATTTAGTTCCATGCTGGTGCCTACAGGGTTCATTCACATTTATACAAGAAATCCAGGTTTTCTTTTGCATTTTTGACACATCTGGTTTGGACCTAGAAATACAGTATATATGTTACACATTGTGTTTTGTGTATTTCCTCCCATCACACCTTATGCTTTACATGAACATAGCCTTCCCACCCTAAAACAATACTATCCACTCTGCCTAAATTTTCTCACTGATTCCCAAAAAATGTGCATACAATCCAGTGCAAAATTTTGAGAACACGAGATTGAAAAAATACTGTAATCCATGGGCATAATTTAAGGCTAGGATTTTGCCAGCTTTAATGTTCTTTCAAGCTCTTGAAGCTGTAAGTTGCCCTGAGTGATCATCATCCTAACTGCAGCCTGTAAAACAAAAAATAAAAAATATTGTACTTAGTAGTCAAGCAGGTAAAAGGTAATATACATTGACACATATGGTATTGCATTTCTATTATGACAGCATTCCCTGGAATTCCAGCCTCTTGTGAAACAGCCCCATCCCTTCTATTCTGCATCTCTCTGCTGAAGAGATCACTGCACAAATCAGGAAGAGATATTTTTGTATGCTGTCTGATCTGGGGAGTCTGGCTTCTTGTACTTTTCATATGCCAGAACTGCAACGTAGGTTTGTTTTCACTTTACAAATCCTGGTTTCTTTGAGAGTGTGAAGTTTAGATGGTATGACAAAGAAACAATCTGGTTTATCTTTTCACTTTTGCTAGGAGCATCAAAGGGTAAGAAAGCAAACTGCTTTCTCCATATGCTAGTCTTCTGAAAAACTCTGATTCATAGTTCCACACAAATGTAGCCTAGACTGCAATGGTTCTACCTCTGCTAATTATATTCTGATGGACTGAACACTGTTCTATATATTATGGCCTCTACTAGGTCAGTGAAAAATATGTCTGCCTGCCAGTAACTTTGCAAAATTAATTTAACCTGCTTAACAAAAGGACTCTCCCCACAGTCAACAGCATTATATGTTATGAGGCCACCAAATTAAGGCCAGAACATGTATACTGATTCTTACAGAAAAGGAACAAATCACCAGCTCTGCTAACAGAACTTCACAGAATGTAACATTATGGCAGGAAAACCAGGCAAGAGGAAATAATACAGTCAGTGTGCCATAGGTGGCTCAGCCCTGGGAAATGCAGCCATGAAACCTACTAAGTGACTTGGAGCTCTCAGTCTGATTTGTTTCATTGGTGGTGGGTGGTATGAGAACAAAAAGCCATGTGTGCCATCTTCAGGTCTTTGAAGAAAAAGTGGATCAAAAGCTACTTTTTCAGACATAAAGAGTACATGCGCTCTACGTGGGGCTGCCTTTGAAGACGGTCCGGAGACTGCAACTGGTCCAGAATCGAGCTGCGCGGCTGGTGAGTGGTGCAGCCGCCAGGGAACACATCAAGCCGATTCTGTTTAAGTTACATTGGCTACCAGTTGCTGCCCGGGCCCAATTCAAAGTGCTTGTTTTGACATATAAAGCCCTAAACGGCTTGGGCCCTGGATACCTGAAGGACCGCCTCCTTCCATATGAACCTACCCGGCAGTTAAGATCTAGTCAGGGGGCCTTTTTGAAAGAGCCGTCCCTCAAGGAGGTAAGAGGGTCTCTCTCTCTCTCTCTCTCTTTAAGTCATGCCATCCTGGTAATATCTCATTTGGAATTCAATTGTTATAATTGTATTTTTTGTGATTTTATGCATGTTATATTGATGTGTTTTTATCGATGTAAGCCACCCCGAGTAGACATAGTCTAGAGGGGCAGGGTAAAAAAAATCTAATAAATAAATAAATAAAATAAACATTTTACATTATATACATACTATATACATAAACCGTATACTATATAAACTATATACTACACAGGAAGTATTTATGTATACATTAGCCGCCTAGAGTGGTCTAATTTGATCAGATAGGCGGGATAGAAATTAAATAAATAAATAAATAAATGTGTCTGTTGTATTTATCCCACAGTGGTGAGCACTGTGTTCAAGTGAGGACAAAGTGTCAATGGCTCATTAAAACAGGTACGGGGCTATCAAGCTGTTAATCTGCAAATCTTAGCCAGTGTAATAAACTGTACTGAATGATGTAGAGGCAACTGAGAACCAGTCTAACCCTTATCTATGACTACCTGCACCTTTTTTGTTTGGTCCCTGACAGCAGGGGTTTTTGTTTGTTTGTTTGTTTAGAGTAGGTAGATTTGTTCTGTTTTAGTTTGGTTTCCAGCATGTATGATCACTGGAAATGAACCAAAGCAGCAGCACTAGGGGTTTCCCTCCAACAGTTCAGTGCTATACTACTTGGGTGGCAAGCCAATGAAGTGATAAGTCCTTTACCAATAAATGAAAAAAACCACCCAGTTTTCTCCTACTACCTGCATAGGGGGTGACAGGAAAGGATGCAAATGGCGATATTCCCTCATCCCCTTTACAATCCAGCACAGTTTGTTTGTTTGCTTGTTTATTCGATTTATATCCTGCCCATCTGGTATATTCTACCACTCTGGGCGGCTTACAGCATGACATATATACATTAAAATAGCGCAAGAGCATTACAATACAATCAATAACAGATACAGTGCAGAAATATAGTAAATAATAAATAGCAAAAAAGAGAAGGGAGTCAAATGTTGACAGGAGGGAAGGCCTGGATGTACATCCATGTTTTCAATTGGCTTTTAAAAGTACCCAGCGAGGGAGCCCCGCGAATCTCCGGAGGAAGGCTATTCCAAAGGCAAGGAGCCACTGCCGAGAAGGCCAGGTTTCGTGTCTTTTCCCTCCGGGTCTCCCTCGGCGTCAGGCTCCTCAGCCTCACCTCCTTACTCACGCGGGTGATCCGAGTAGATCTTGGTGGGAGCAGGCGTTCCGCCAAGTATCGAGGTCCTATACCGTTTAGGGCTTTATAGGTAAGCATTAAAACTTTGACGTCAATGTAGAAACGAATGGGCAGCAAATGCAGAATGGCCAGAATAGGAGAAATATGTTGGTGTTTTCTCATTCCAGTAAGGAGTCTGGCCGCTGCATTCTGCACCACTTGAAGTTTCCTCATCAGCCTCAAAGGCAGCCCCACATAGAGCACGTTACAGTGGTCTAATCTTGAGATTACAAGCGCATGTACCAAGGTAGTGAGTGCCCCCGTGTTGAGGTAGGGTCGCAGCCGGGCAATCCGCCAAAGATGGAAAAAGGCGGTATGGACTACCGATGCCACCTGGGTCCATGGTGAGCGTCGGGTCCAGATGTACCCCCAAGCTGC